ACATACAGCAAATACAGTAGTGGCCCTAATACCGATCCCTGGGCAATGCCGACGTTGGGAGTAAGTCGTTTACCGCTTTTACTATTTATTGTTGTACAGTGCTCGCTGTCTGTAGAATAAGATTTAATCAAGTGGTAGCACACCCCACGAAGTCCCATTTTATTTAATTTATTCATCATTAGCCCTATATTGACAGTATCGAACGACAAACACTGTTATTACATGTTTGTTCTTATGCAATTCATTCGTCATCAATTCCAGCGTATCAACAACCATTCCTTGTGTACTACTTTCCATAGTGATGGTTCATATTCCCATATTGATGGTCCATATTGATGGTTGTCAATTTTAATTTTAGCTTCTATAAATTTTATTAGTCTTGCCTTAAGAATTTTTTCCAGTATCTTAGACAAAATGCTGATTAGGCCGATTGGCCTCTAATTGTAATTTCGTCGTGTGCTCCTTTTTTGTATATCTGGATGATTTTAGCCACTTTCAGTTCTTCAGGGTAGTTACCAGTTTGCAGGACATTATTAGTAAGTTCTACCATTTTTTGTCCAGTGATATTGATTATCGCCTGCAGCTCTTTTTTTTGTCACACGATCGATGCCTGGGGCACAAATATTTTTTTATGAGTTAACCGTTTCCTTTATTTCTAGGATCGTTGTTGGTTCCAAAAATATACTAGCCGCAACTTCTGCTTCTTCAAAATTGGTATTGTTGAATGTTGCTTTATTTTGTTGGCTAAAGTTTCTCGAATTTTTGAAAAGTGTTTTCTTTAGCTATTTCTTTATCGTCTTTATTCGGTTGTCCAGTTGCGTTAATTATTTTATGTATTTTTTTGGTTTTGTTTTGCTTGGTTCGTATTTCGTTTTATTGACTTTTTTTTTGATCAGAAAGAAGTCGCAGGGAGCCAAATCAGGTGAATTCGGTGGAATTACGAATAATTATGGCATTGTGAGACGGTGCGTTTTCGTGGTGCAAAATCCACTAGTTTTCTGCCTACAATTCTGGTCTCTTTCGGTTAACTGCTTCGCGCAAACGTTTCATAACGCCCAAATCATACTCTTTGTTTACTGTCTGGCGTTTTGGCAAAAATTCATGATGCACTAAACCTTTTTAATCCATAAAAACCATGAGCATTGACTTTTTTGGCTGAAAATGGCGTGTTTTTTTTTTTCTAATTTGGTAAACGCCATTCACTTTCCTGATATCTGGATTGCTTTTCGTACTCATAAATAATGTCTCGTCTACAGTAATGATCCTGTTTTAGCATCGCAAGTCATCTCTTTTACCCAATTCATTAACCAAAATGTCTTGGACGGATCCGTAGGCAATGTTCAAGTCCTGCGCTATCTCTGTGATGGTTAATTTGCGATTGTTAACCAACATTTCTATTACTGGTTCAATGTTTTCGTCGGTTTTCTTCAGAGAATCAGAGAGGGAGCACTATTAATTCTGTTGTTAACGTCACAGTTCGTGGTTGCCAATTGAAATCCATATTTAAAATTTTAAAAAATCCCCAACACGCAGACGTGACTACTTAACTTTTGCAAATGTAGAGCTATGACGCTAAGATGTACCAACCTAAAAAAAGAACTCAAATCGGAGCAATCGGTGCGAAACACGGTGGTTATTCCGGAAGAAGGTTGATCAAGGGGCTATTTCATTTCTTAATGCTGAGAGTAACAAACAAAATGTCAATTTGCCATGACATGGATTCTCGGATTTTTCTTTGGTTTTTTCTTGGCAACTAGCGCTTTTTCATGCTATTGTTGCTTGATATTTTTCTACGAGACTGGAACAGAAAAACACTAGATGGAAAATACGGAAATGTGGACAAACATACAAACATAAGATAATTGAAGTCTTTTGAAGTAAGGCAGGCCAGTAGACTGCATTAGAATATGAAATATATAGAAAAGGATAGAATATATAGAATATAGAAATATATGAATAGTAACTGTCAGTCAAATTTTTATTTTCATGATACTTGTTAACTACAATAGCACACCCAAAACAAGCTTGTGATGTGTCCACAAATCTATAAATATTTTCACGAATACTCTAAATAACCCACTACAATTAACAAAAAAAAAATCATAAATGAAATATATGAAATAATTAAAAGGAGCCACAATGACAGTAATATGTAAAGATTTTGATTAACAAAAGTGATAGAGGGAATGTAAGGAAGAACCACTGCGGCAAGTGGCTTTCTAACTCATTTTCTTTGTTTTAGTGAAATGTATTTTTTGTTGAAACGCCTATTATCTCTAATGTTCAAATTATTAGAGAGAAATGCAGAGTTTTAATTATGGTTCCATATGCTGATGTGTCAATGCATTAAGGTTTACCAAGGTATGTGTGATTAGAATTGAATTGGAAGTTATTATTACTTTGCGATTCAATTGTAAAACGTGTGTATGGACCATGATGCCAAATAATAAAGTGTTATTAAAGTAGCGTTTCTTCTTTCTTCGCAAAAACTTCCATAAATATATTTGCTATCATTGGTTATAACCCATAGCTGTTCTTCAACTACCAGTCCGTCTATCTGCGACTCTAGAGACCCTTAACAATCGTCATTACGCCCCCTGGTGAGATAAGTTTTTTCACCATATCGCTGCGAATGTATTTTCTCTTAATTTGCAATTATTTTGGCCGCCACTCATTTTGATTACTTTTTTTTTGCAGCTACAACTTTATTAATAATTATAAGTAAATAATACAAGTATTCTGGTCCTGGGAATTAATCAAACACATTCATAATGTCCTAAGTATAAATGAATTATTTATTATAAATTAACGAAACATTGCCTGTCAAAGGCTTGACGGATTTATTTTTTTACACCAACACGCACGCAAGCCATCTTTGAACCAAATCATCTCTCATATTAACAAGTCAAAATAAGTCGATATTAGAGACCATTTATCAAGCAGGGATCAAATCAAATCCGTATGACTTCAAGCGAAGGAGAGTTGTCACGTAAATTGAAAAATTGTCCAGATTTGTAGAAGCCGAGTCGGAGATGAAGAATGACATTCAATGGAATTTATTGCTGAAAAATTGTAGGGATAATAACCGAGGTTCTGGCGGACTGCCACTATTCATCTTTACTCGTATAGTACTTTCACAAATACATTTAAAGACAATTTGAAAATTATCAAGAAAAAAAGCACGCCAAATTTCTAAAAATTAAAGCAATACTAATAAATAGAAGAAATAAACTCAGCGAATTATTCCTGTTTCGGTACTTTTAAAGGGTCAGGGCGATAGTTTTGGTTTGTGAATCGAAAAGTAATAAATAAATCGATTTATGAAAGTTTTTAAACGAAATTGCCAAAATTGTTATTTTTTATAAAAAAAAATGTGTATTAAGGGACCACCTTATTTTCGAAAATATCGAAAAATTTTATAGGAAAAAGTTCTCAAATCATTTTTAATTAGATCGGTAGTCATAATTCTAATTTGAAGATTAATTAATAACAATAATAATAATAATAATAATAATAAAAATAATAATATAAATCCAAAAAACAATTACAAGAACGTGTCAGTGAGACGTCACTGAACTGGACCTCGCCTTTTTTCTAAATTGATTTGTTTTTGTTTATTATTGACTTGTTGATTATTGAAAATAAATAGTTCATTATTTATTATTATTAATATTATTATTATTATTATTATTATTATTATTATTGTTATTATTATTAAATGTATATTATCTAATGCTCTAGGTGTTTTTCAGTTTCCTAGCAGTCTGTTCGGTTAACCAAAGAATTGATTTATAAACTAGACACTAAAATTATATTATTTAGGGAGGAGAATAATAATCAATTATGTGAAATTTATATATTTATATGTAATAAAAATAAACATCTTAGAAATAATATGGCGATTTATAATATGATATGGCAAGACAGGATAGTAATGTATTAAAAAGATGTCTTTTAAATCTGTATAAGGACCAGCTTAGCAATTAGGTATATGTATCAATGATATTTCAAATGAAAATTTTAAAAAATTAAATTTAGAACCATAATTGTATGTTTGTGTCTAATATTGAGATTGTGATCATGAGTACTAAACCATATTTTATTATGAATGTATGGCGGAGAACCTAAATTAATAATTTTGTGGTACAAACCAAGTGAAACCAGTTTTCTTAACTCTGTGACTAACTCTCTGAGATTTTCACATTCCATGTGTTAGTCGGAGCCAGGAATTTTGAATTTTTTTGTATACGCTCACTATCTGTAACCGCTATGCAGCAAATATAGACTATCGCAATAGTTCAAATGTCCCAGGACTCTTGAGTCAAGCAGAAATATTTCTAAAGATTTCGTCAGCAACGTCTAATTTGAAATACAATTTTTGTGTGGATGTAAGATTTTTATAGACATTCTGGAACAGACGACTTCTTATATGGACTAGACTGATTATTTCAACGAAGGGTTTTCCTTTAAATGTATTTAAATAGTTGATATGGTTTTAATATTTTAAAATCAAATAAAGTGTAGTTAATTTTATTACATTTCAATGAGGTAACTTTATTAATCTTTTTTGTATTTTTTTAATTTTAATACCAAAAGCTTTTCTGTGTAGAGATGTGTTTTGCGCAAGCGTTTCTAAAACCCAAAGACATCACGATTTGAATTTTTAAAATTTTTAAAATTACATTTCACTGAGGTAATTTTATTAACTTTTGTTTTCTATTTTTTAATTTTAATACTAAAAGCTTTTCTATATAGAGATTTCTTTTGATATTAACTCTTCCGATCTCAAGCATTTCCAAGATCCAAAGACACCACGAATTGGATTTTTACATTTTGTTACATTTCAATGAGGCAACTTTATTAATCTTTTTTTTGTATTTTTTAATTTTGATTCCAACAGCTTTTCTATTTAGAGATTTGTTGTAGTATTAACTCTTTCGATCCTAAGCGTTTATAAGACCCGAAGACAACCACGAATTGGATTTTTTTTGCTGTTTCAGTGTTTTCCAAGGGTCAGTGCGAAACGAACCGTTACCGTTTCCTGGCAAAGACTGGCGGCTACGTCTGGGTAGTTACGCAGGCTACGCTAATCTACGACAAAGCGCAGAAACCCCAGAGCGTGGTATGCGTAAACTACGTCATCAGGTAAGTGTTTTTTCGAACCTTTTCTTCCCCCCCGGTGTTTCGCTTTCGCTCGGAAAATTTCTGGACCGCAAGAAATTTCGACTTAAATTATGTGTAATTATTTTCTGTTTACCGTCCGGGCTCTTATTCTTGAAAACTGCCTCAAAAAAAATGTCTTTCTTGTGAACCCTGACAGAATTATTGAAAGTAAAGAGTATTTTATTCATCATTCTCTTGAGTAATGTTATGGATATAATCGAGAGAGAGAGTCATCGAAAAATAAATGAATGAGATACGTGTATAACAAAACATAACCTCTGAAACGCTCAGTAATAAGTGCTGTTGATTATTCCTCAAATAATGGACGTAATATATCTTTTAAAGATTTTTAAAAAGCCAGGTTTAAGGAATCGTAAGTTGCTGATCCTGACGTCATTGTTTTTCTGATGACGTATCCGGAAGGCTCGGTCAAATCCTTACGTGTGTGGTGCACTTGAAGTAACTTTTACTGAATGTGCGTGATTGCAGATACATATATGGTAGAGTAATTTGGAAGAAAGCAATTTCGTGCATATTATTTTTTCGCTTCAAACTAATTTTGCCCACGAGGTTTTTCTTCGAAACTCTATATAAAACATGTATTATACAAATTCAAAAAAAGTTGCTAGCACTAGACATTTTCCATATGAAATTTACTATTTTTAGAATTCAGAAATAAACATCCAAGGCTTTTTAGGGGGTTTTGAAAGTGCAACCCGACTACTTGACTACTCTATGTATGTTTTATTATGCTTTAGGCATTCTGTTTTTTTTTGCCGTAGCTGTACGGTAATTTTTTTTTTGCTAAAATACAAGGTAGGAAATAAATGATTTTTTTAAAATGAAGATAATTTATATACACATCAATTTTTTTCTTTTATTTCAGAATAGTTTTTTTAGTTAATTAAATTCTCTTCAAAAGTAATTCTATAATAATTCTCTTTTTTTTTTCGTGTTTCGTAAGATATCATTCACTTAAATTTTTAAAAATAAAAATTTTGCTTTGGCTTTTACTTTTTATTTACAATGTTGCCTGTAAAGCGTATTTGAGAAGTTGATTTTAGTCAGTGTTTTGTTCATTAACTTAACTATTGAAAAATGTAGAGAATTTTGAAGTTAAGCAGTGAAACAGCTGAATTTTTCAAAATCACAGTAAGTAATTAATGGTCTCTTTGAGCAAATTTTTAATTATAATATTTTTTTTAAATACATTGTTTTCTATAAAAACGTATTGTAATTATATATCGCAAAAAAAAATTATTCTCTAAAATATTTTCAATCGGTGCTGTCACTACGATCCAAGGATATAATTAATACGTTGTTCCAAGTTTTTTTTATTATTATTTTCCACTTGTAAGTGTATAATTAACACATTCTCCCCAACTGCTATTGATTCACACTGAGTTTTAATTACATCAATTACATGGGCGGACACTTTTGGCTCTATATTACTGCCTCTAACTTTGTTGTTTAAATCGTCCCATATCGTTTCTATAGGATTCAAATAGCAGTGATAAAAGTGATAAAATAATCTAAGGGGTATAGGGGATTTTTTAGAACCCCTTCTAAGATATTCGATGAACCATATCGTATGATAACGATTTGGTTCATAAAACTTCAACCGGTTGTTTTTGGAAAAAGTATCTTCCGACTAAGGAATTCTTGTAATATTTCTTTTTTGCTGTTTATCAGTGGTACACTTTTATCTAGAATGCCGAGATTACTAGCATTATCATAAAATACGCTGTCTGGTAGGATATCTGCAAGATGAGAATAAGGAAAAAATCGGCGCAAGGTTGACCTTGGAATGCCCTCTGACGTTTTTAGAAGACCTGCAAACCAAATTTGCGTTAAAACATATAATTTATTAAGATTTAGAAATGTTATAGTTGTCCTTTCAAAAAAAAAAAAATTTTTAATTTAAATACGTGTTTCTTCAATAATACAAGCGTTTCCTCAATCACTTAATATTTATTGAATTTTTCTTTTCTATAAATGGACTGTATCTCACATTGCGGCGACGTCGCAACCCATGCTGTGCACGTCTACCCCGTAACACTACAAAATTGTTACTACTCTAGCAGAAACGTAGACCTTGCCGGTTTGGCGTACAACGCCCTGTTGTCACATTGACTGAAATGTCCGGCTTGTTAAGATACACAAAATTAAAAAGAAATTTACATAATTTTGAACTCAACAATACGTATAAGGTAAAAATAGCAGCATTTTCTTTTTGGTTCGTTACTCTCCTCTATTCCGTCATGGCCAGTAATCGTAATTCCTAAATAATTTTAAAATTTCTGACGTGAAAATAAAAATACCTCCCTGTACTAATAAACGCTTGTAAATCGTTTTTTTATCGGTTTATTGAAGTTAAAGGACCTTCCGTTTATGATTTGTCATGCAAGTTATGGCCATTTATCGTGCGTTGGACTATATCGTCATTAATTAATAAATGCCTGAAGCACATTTGTTTGCATATTTCAATAAAACAAGTATAGAGTTATCGGGTTGTGCTTTAGGAGCCCCTAGAAATGCTTGGCTCTTTATTTTTGGTTTCTAAAAATAGTAAATTTTAACATAAAAAAAATTAAAACGCCTGATAATATTTAACCGTTCGAACTCACTTTTATTTCAAAGAATTGACGTTTTCTTAGTTCATATAATACTTCTTGAGAAATGGCAACGTAACGAGCCTGAGAATATTCTCTCTCTATCTCTGTTGTCGCAACGCTTTCGCACTTTTCAAGAATAGAGCCCCCCGCCCCGTGTTTAACGCGATAAATTTTTCGACAACGTTTTCGGGCGAGTTTAATTTTTCGCCATTTTGGATTTCGCGAACGGTAACAATAAATCTGGCGCGCCGGAGTGACGTTTCTGCTTTCAGTCCGAAATGCAGGAACCGTTCAGTTTCCGACGTATTTGTCCCCCCCCCCTCATGCCTGTACAAATTCGATTAAATTTAATCGAATTTTTATCGCTCGCGCTCCTCCCCACCCTTCCCTATCGCGTGGCACTCTCGATTTCAAATTCGAAATAATCATTTGATTGAAAAATAAATTTATTTATTAACTTATTTATTTAGTATTTATTAAGATTACATGCACATTTCAAATTACGAGGAAAAATAATTTTAGAAACAGAATATGTACAGGGTGGCCCTTTTAAGATGCTACGATACTTTATCTCAATAAGTATAACACTGAGGAAAAAAAGTTAAATACAAAAAGTGTTTGACCCTAAGTACATATTTTATTTACAGTATTTTTATATATAGAGAGAGTGTTCCGTTGTGCTAGGACAGTAATCAACTTTATTTTTCTAAATGGAATGCTGTGAACATTTTAAAAAATTCCAATTATTCGCTTGATTTTGAGTATTTTTTATTTAGCGTAAGAAATTTTGAATAGTTTTTGAGAAAAATGAAATTTTTTTGCAGAAAGCAGGTCTTTGGAAGAATGTGTTTTTTCTACACTTGGAAGCTAAAATTTGGAATTTTTTTTTGATCATGGGGCTGCTTAATATTTAATGCTTTGACCTACCTATGGCGAAAATTTTTCAAACAGGGTGGTCTCAAAAGACCATAAATGTTTTATCTAATTAAAACAACTTAGTTTTTTTTAAACAGAACACCCTGTATTTAGCACTTTTTTTTTGGTTTGGGATTTAATTCTGTCTGATTTCATATATGTAGCTTTTATTACAAAAAATGGTGCTTTAGAGATTATGGCCAATTTTACTTTAAATCAATCTAAACATATATTATATCCTATTATAAGTTTTTTTTAAATATTAATTACTTAAATTCAATATAAAATCGACAAATAATGCAAGTAAATAGAACTTATTGCTAATTATAGAACATTTTTCAATTTTCAATCACGTCTGTTGAATTAAAGTCTTCCTAGCTTTTTCCAAATTCTCATTTTTCAAACTTGAATACTACTATACCTAGTTTTATACACTTCGTTTTTTATGCAGCCCATAATAAAATTAAAAAAAAGTACTAAATATAAGGTGCTACATTAAAAAAACTTGAGTTTTTTTAATTAGAAAGAACAATTTTTGATGGTCATTTGCGACCACCCTATATAACATATTTCCGCCGTAGATAGGTCATTAAATATTAACCACTTTCATGGATCCATAATAAAAAAATCCAATTGTAATTTTCAAGTGTAAAAAATACTCAAATCAAGCAAGTCGTTACTGTCCTGTCACAGCGGAATACCCTCTATACATGAAAATGCTATAAATTTGATATACTTGTTAAGATAAAATATAGGAGCGTCTTAAATGGACTGCTCTATGCCTCAAACTACATATCAAAGAAGAGCTTATTATAACACTTAAGTTGTTTTACTCGGAAAGAAGTAGGCGCCTTTTTAAATAGCGAACTGTTTTGCATAGGCCGAGTAACTTATGTAAAATTGTAGCACTATATGTAAAATAACACCAAGTATTTCCAGTTCTGTGTAAAAATAAAGCGGCAGCAAGTATTTTGATCTTTCTGCAGTCTATAGAAGATGTAAACAAGGGTATAATATTATAGGCAGACAATCGAGAGAGACCTAGACTCTTAGCTAACTCTATTTTGTTGTATGACAATATATCTTTAATTAAATATAACAATTCAAAACTCACAACATTGATCTAAAAACTTCATATTCTTCAGATTTTTAACAGATTCTCTAGAATTTGAGTGCTTGACTTGATGTTGACTTTCTTTCTCTTGGGAGCAAAAATAATAACACTATAGTCGTAAGTCACATTGAGAATACAGTCATCAATGTGGACAAATTCATTGAACTTATTTTTAGAATACGGAAGATTATTTAGAATATTGTCATCATTTTCCTGCCTAACTTTTTTCAGCCATTTTTTCTAATGTTAAGTCATGTGCTAGGAGATATATGACTAATTTTCTGACATACGGATGAGCTGGTGAGTTTTCCACTAACAATATGATTATTTGGTTTTTA